CGGCAATCCGATGTCGACAAAAGCTACCGTCGGTGAATGGGAAGGCTGGGAAGACTGGATGGTCTGGAGAGACTGGAAGGACTCGGAGGTCTCAGAAGATTGTGACGAAGACGTCTCTTCAATCGAAGCAACCGCTGACGAGCTACCAGATGAATTTCCAGTCAAGTTCTGCTCCTTTTTCTTCAGACGAAAACAGTTGTCCCGGGTATGCCCCTTTGTCCGGCAATAAACACAAAATACTTCCTTGGAAGAATCGGTAGACGGGCCTATTTTGGAAGAAGTCGTTTCTTCTTTCTTGATATTATCCTTGGAATTGACAGGCTTAACAGGAACAGGAGGGGTCTTTTTGGAAGGATCACCAAAAGCCAAAATAAGTGAGTGCATCTTGTCTAAGAATTGATCGATAGTTTCTGCTTGGATCAAAGAAGCTGAAGCTCTTAAAGATGGACTTCCTATACCAGAGATCAGGAAATCAATATTTTGTTTTTCAGGCAAACGAAAATTCTGTAAAAGCTTCAATTTCTGCATGGCGTAATCCTGAAAAGACTCCTTTGAAAAATTCCATTTTCTACTTTCGACTTTTTGAAAGGTTACACGAAAAGGTATGTCTCTTTTGAACCTTTGAGAGATAGCTTGCTTTAAGTTGAACCAGGAATCATTAACAGTACCTGAATTAAGATCTAACCAATCTTTTGCAGACTTGATCAACTTGCTGGAAGCAGCTAGGAGAGTCACCTGATCGGAGACATCATGGATACGGGAAACTCGTTCAACTTTCTCGATCCAAATATCAATATTTTCGTCTTCTGAACCAGAAAATGACGGAAGTTGGGATGCTAGCAGATTGACGGCTTGAGCAACTGGAACTGAGGCTAAAACAGGTCTCTGATTAAGAACCGCAGCACCAGAAGAATCAGAAGAAGACACAATTTGCGGATTAATGTTAGAAATCCGAGTAGCAGAGACCAAATTGGTAACTTGCTGCATAAAATCACTTTGTTGTCTGAGCATTAAATCGCTCTGTTGCTTCATTAATTCGGAAAAGAAGCCAAATATCTGCTGCAAAGAAGGATCAGCAACTGGAGGCGAAAACCTCGCAGAAGGCATATCACTTGCAGATTGTTGAGGTTGAATTGTAGCTCGAGCATTGCAGGATGATGTGCCATCAGATGATACGATACCAAAATCATTCACTGGACCATTTCGCTCCAAATGGGACATAATTTGGTCAATCAACTGTTCACAAGAAGAGGCTGGCACGAGTCCATAACTAAGAGCTTCATTCTTGAGTTCTTCAAAAGAGAGTTGGTCTAAGCGACTTCGATCCATAGCGATTGATAAGGCGTGAAGCGACGAAAGACAAAACTGCTCCGTAACCGTCGATCGGAAAATGTGTTGCCGTCTTTTGTTTGCAGATCTTCAATTAATTTCTTCTTCAAGAAATCATTCAATGGCGAATATTACCGCAATTTCGAGTCAAGACAGCCA